ACCCAGCCCTCTACCAGTTCTCACAGATTCATCGAGTGAGGGCCTGGTGCCGGACGTTCCGCCACGTCTGGCTGCCGAAGGGATGGAGGAGCTTGACAGGGTCTACAGTATGAACTCTCTGGAGCAGTTTTAGCAAGCCGACACTAAACAGGGGCCCTCCTCTCCTCTCAGTGCTTCTACCCGTTTGAGGTGAGAACAAAAGAAGGAGGATACCGGCTCCACACGAAGGCTATAGAATCTAGTGAACGTGTTGGGGGTCGCCCAGCTCACAGCTTTACAAATATCTGTCAGCGATGCACCACGAGCCAGCGCCCAGGAGGATGCAACACTTCTAGTAGAGTGAGCTCGCAACCTGAGCGGGCAGGGCACAACCTGTGCCTGATAAGCCAGGGTGATGGCATCCACTATCCAGTGGGCCATAACACTGGGATCCCAGTGATCCCTGAAGGGAGTAGTGGGAACCTTGGGCACATAGCTGGGCCTGGGCCTCAGGACTACCTGGGAGTTAGCCGGCCCAAACTCTAGGCACGATTCGTTAACCGAAAATGTGTGCAGGTCCCCTACCCTCTGGATGGACGCCAGTGCAAGCAGGAGCAGAGATTTCATTGAAAGAAACTTCAGCTCAACTGACTGCAAAGGCTCAAATGGGCCCTGCTGTAGTGCTTTGAGTCAGGTCCCAAGAGGGCATAGAGGGGGGTCGGGGAGGATTTAACCTTCTCACCCCCTTAAGGAACCTGATGACCAGGTCATGCTTCCCTACCGACTTCCCTTCCATGGGGTCGTGGTTAGCAGCAATCACAGAAACATAGACTTTAAGTGTGGAGGGAGACAAGCCTTCGCTCCAACCCCTGCTGCAAAAAGGACAGCACGATTCTGATCGGGCATCTTTGGGGGTCTTCTCGGTGAGAAGAACACCACTCGACAAGCAGGTTCCACTTCAAGGCGTAAGTGTGTCTTGTGGATGGTGCTCTCGCCGAAGTGATGGTGTCAACTACCTCCTGGGGTAGGTCACCTAGAACCTCCGCGTCCCATCCAGGGACCAGACATGAAGTTTCCAGAGGTCTGGATGCGGGTGCCACAGGGTGCCCCTTCTCAGAGTCAGTAGATCCTTCCTCAGAGCCATCTGCCAGGGAGGGGCTGTCACGAGGAGCATTAGTTCCGGGAACCATTCTCCGGGAAGTGCAGCTCATGACAGCTCGTTGGCTGCACTGTTGTGCAGACTCGGAATGTGAATGGCATGAAGCGACCTCAGATGCTTCTGACTCCAGAGGAGGAGGTGGCGAGCAAGTTGCGGCATGCGACGGGAGCGTAGACCACCTTGTCGGTTGATGTATGCAACAGTTGCAGTGTTGTCTGTGCGGACCAGCACGTGCTTGCCTTGTAAGCACCCTCTAAAACGGTTTAAGGGAAGGCGTGGTGCTAACAACTCTAGAGAGTTGATGTGCCAGTGCAGTTGGGGGCCCGTCAAAACCCTCGACACTGCATGCCAGTCGTATGTAGCCCCCCAGCTGGTGGTGAACCACAGCATGCTTGGAGACCTGTTCCAGGGGCACTCCTGCCCGGAGAAACGCAAGGTCTGACCACGGGGTGAAGGTTTGGCGGCAGGCCTGTGTGACCCGGTGAGTGCCTCGGGACTCGGCCATGGAGCCAGTGTTGAAGCGGTCTCATATGAAGCAGCCCTGGCGGCGTGACTGCCGCTGCAGCTGCCATATGCCCCAGCAGCCTCTGAAACCATTTCAGTGGGACCGCCATCCTGCTCTTGAACATATTGAGGCAGTTCAACACCGACTGAGCATGTTCCTGCGTAAGGCGTGCTGTCTGTTTAACCGAATCCAACTCCATTCCGAGAAAAGAGATCCTCTGCATCGGGGAGAGTTTGCTCTTTTCCCATTTGACCCGAAGGCCCAACCGGCTGAGGTGTGAGAGCACTAAGTCCCTGTGTTCGCACAACTGATCCTAAGACTGAGTTAGTATGAGCCAGTCGTCGAGGTAGTTGAGAATGTGAATGCCCTGCTCTCCGCAACTTTTGTGAAGACACGGGGCGACAGGGACAGCCCGAAGGGCAGGACCTTGTATTGATATGCTCGTCCTTCGAACGCGAACTGCAGGAAAGGTCTGTGGCGCGGAAGGATTGAAACGTACGCGATCGAAAGTACGTGCCTTCAGGTCAATTGCTGCAAACCAATCGCGGGGATGGATGCACCCAAAGATGCACTTCTGCGTGAGTCAGATGGTCCGCAGGAGCCAGCGAGATGGGCTGGGTAGTGCTACCAGGTACAACCCTGTACATTGCGAGTAAATCACTCGCATATGCGACTAAATCTTCACTCTGGGCGACTAAATGATGTCTAATATTAGCCAATTGCTAATAAATTCTCAGATTTTACTCGCCAGTGTGTGAGTTGGAGGCTAAGTATAAGTTTAGCTCAGATATATTTTCACTCGCCGAACACTCTCTGACTGAGCGCATCAGAGTTTCACTCTCCGCCAAGCGATCTGTGCTGTTCTTCAGTTCATCTGAATGGATGTGCAACGTATATATTTATCAGTCTGGCGAGTAATCTAAAAAATGTACTAGCCAATGGCGATTCAATTGCCAAGGTGTTCGTAGAGGGCTGAGGTACCCAAACACCGTACAAGCGGGACCACCGACGTACCCGCGGTGGGGCAGCGAGGTGGAAAGCAGGGACCCGGCTTGTGGGTGAGCCAAAGAGGGGTCTGAGTGTGCGGTTCCACCATTTGGCAGAGGGTGCTTGAGTAGGTCGTTTGATGACGCTCTCGAACCGCCCGCTGCTGCCTGCTGGCGAGAGAGGAGGATGAGTGTGGTCCGGTGTTGGTCCATCCACGACTCTCCATGCCCTCTTGGGACCCAGAGACAGAGAAAACTGCTCTCTTGTCGAGATTTTTGGAAAAAAGATTCTCCACCCGGCCCTCCTCCGGGGGAAGAAGAGGTGCATTTACCATCTCTATGGTGCTGCTTGGCTGGAGGCGGCTGCGGATGCAATGCGGGAGCGGGGGCTGAAGCAGGGGGCCACCCTCGGCAATGAGCAGGCTGGGGCGCTGCGACCGGCGGACGGGTGGAGACAGCAGCCGCAGCAGTGTCGGATCGCCTCAGTCTGCTCCTGTGTAGCCGAGAACTGCTGGGCCATGTTCTCGACTGCATCGGCGAAGAGGCCGATCTGGAACATAGGGACCTTGAGGAACCGAACTTTGTCGGCATCCCTCATGTTGACCAGACACAGCCAGATGTGACGCTCCTGGACCACAAGTGTGGACATCGCACGACTCAGAGAACTTGCGGTGACCTTCGTCACTTGGAATGCAAGGTCAGTTGTGGTTCGGAGTTCTTTCAGAACTTCTGGATTGTGACCACCCTCGTGCAGGTCCCTCAGTGCTGTAGCCTGAAGAACCTGCAGTAACGCCGTAGCGTGTAAGGTGGAGGCAGCTTCTCCACAGGCCGCACAAGCAACGCCGGACCGACCAGACGAGTACCTACAGGCCTGGGAGGGGAGGCATGGTTTGCCCTGCCAGGTGGAGGCGGTGTTAGGCCACAACTGCATTGCAACCGACCGCTCCACTGGGGGGACCCCCGTATAACACCTAGCTGCACTACTGTCGAGGGTGGTGAGGGAGGAGGAGCTAGCAAGTCAGTTTCTGGCAGTTAAAGGTGCCATCCACGACTTGGTAAGCTCCTTATGCACCTCCGGGAAGAAAGGCACCAGAACAGGGCGCTGAGAACCAGCGCAAGCTACACCAAGAAACCAGTCATCCAACCTCGAGGGCTCGGGACACGGTGGAGGTCTCCACTCGAGCCCTACCCTCTCGGCAGCCTGGGAAAGCATAGCCATCATTTCCGGATCCATTTCAGGCATTACCTCCGCCCGGAGAGCGGCAGCACAGCCGAATCTACCTCTCCAGAAAGCTCCGGCTCACCCTCCGATGCAGCAAGCGACATTCGGTCGTTGGGAGGAGCGTCAAAGGATACTGCTGGTATGCTCGTAGAGGGCCCAGCATGTTCCATTGGCAGCTCAACTGGTTGCGCAGTGCAAGAGGAGCGATGGTCCCTCGAGGGTTGGTTCCCTGGAGGGTTTGCCACCACTGTAACCCTCAGACCACCCGTGCCACCACCTGAATTGGTGCTCACCAGGCTGCAGCCAGGACGAGAACCAGATCGAGGCAGAGACAATGAAGCTCCGCCCCTTTCGAGGTAACGGAGCCTGGCCCACAACTCCGAGATGATCATCTTTCTGCAATGAGAACATGACTCATCCATGAATGCCACCTCAACGTGCTTAATGCCCAGGCACATGAGGCAGCGATCGTGACCATCACCTGGCGCCAGGTAACAAAAGCATCCAGAAATGCACGGGTGATACGTTGTCTATAACAAGACGCAAGTGAGATCCCAATTCGTCGGTCACCGACGTGACTCGGAGTGACCGTCTGAAAGGGAACTAATGATAAGCTTAAAGACTGCAGACCTGAAAGCCCTGCAGACATCAGAAAAAAAAGACATGACAGTTCTGAATATGGCTAAAATGCTGAATCTAAAATTCTTTGAAAGCAAAGATATAACATCCAGTTTAGTAATGGTGTGATTTAAAGCAGAGATGGGATTCTGCCTCAACGGGCATGGTGGCAAGGGGATGCTTTCAAATAGAAGTGAGAAACTGAATATCTCCACAAGTGTCTGTTTCACAAGACTTTTAGTAAAGGGTTCACAATGCTGCAACGCAGTTTACTATCCTGTACAGCAAACCACATTCACAAACATAAAATAATCTGTTCTAGTGTTGTGGACCTCATGTGCAGTGGATAAATAAAAAAAATATATATATTTTTTAATAATAATAACAACAAATCCCTAATATCTTTAATATAGTAAAATATTTACTGAATTTCTAATATGAAAAAATTTTCTAATAAACAACGAAACATGCTGTATCCTTTTTTCTTGCTAATAAACCAAATTTGAATTATTACCAATGAAAAATACTGACCTGTTTTGCGGTTTCCTTTTTTTCTTGCTTTTTATCCATTTCCATTTGTTGTTGCTTGATTGCCTCCTGGTTTTCTTTTACTTTCTTTTTGATGACTTCACTTTTTTTCTCTTTCCAGGCATCATAAGAGGCCTTTGCATCTGAAATTTTAGCAAACTTTTCCTAGATGAGAAATGATAAATATTTAATAAATCATTCCAGGATTGTTGTTACTAAAGAATTCAATTAAGCATTTGATTTATCTTACCTCTAGCATCTTCTCCTCTTTTAATTTCTCTTCCTGCTTTTTAGCCTTCCTTGTTATTTTTAAAGTTTCTTCTTTCTTTTTTAGCCATTCCTTTTTAGATACATTAAAAGGGTTTCTTAATAAATCATAGGTCAGTCTCTTGACATAACTTAATTATTAACTTAATATGATTTAATTCCTTAAATATTATGATTACAGTAAATGATTAGTCCTTACCTGGTACACAGCAGCTCTTAGTGAATCTGCTGCTTCTGGAACCTCTTGGGTCTCCTGTGTCCTCTGATCCAAAACCTTCAATGTTCCCAAGTATTTAGACTCTGCTGTATAGGAGCTCTTGGATTTTCTGGAACTGGATGACCGAGAGCTTGAAGGTCTAATGTCCAAAAGATATTGTTCTTTGAGTTTTCAATGTTTGATGCATTTGAGTAACACTATTATGTTAATTGTGCGCTAAGTGATGTTTTACTCATTAAAGCATAAAAAAATGACATGATTAAAATCATGAACACGCATACCAGTGACCAAGTAAAAACTATTTTATCATATTAAAAATATGTACCTCCAAGAAGGCAAGATAGAAAAAAGCTTAACTTGAGAAAATAGTTAACAGAAGTGTTAAGAAATGCATAAACATGGTGAGATTTTCATGTAGCGGAGATTTTCATAACCCAGTTTGAATAAAAGTATGTTAAAGCTGCAGTCCGTAACTTTTTTTTGGTTAAAAATTATCCGAAATCGATATTTGAGCAAGTACATAACCAGCCAATGTTCAAAAAGTTGCCTTACTTTAGCCCGATTCACAACGGTTATCTTATAATAATGTTTTCTAATTTGAGTGGTACGGGTAGGTTTTCGCAGGAAATTTGAGCAGGGCACTGCGTCATTACGTCACGTCTGTAAACATAAAGAAGTTGTCCCGGCTACTAGGCTATCGCATGTGAGGATCCTGCAGGTGGCCGATCGTTTATAGCCTTTTCTCACAGCAACCAGAACAATTAAATGTGTCATTTTGATGGCGGATTGTAATCCATAAAGGATTATGTGTTTATGAAACACATGTGAATGAAATTAAATTATATTCCAGTTATAAATGTGCTTCTGATTACAGATAGCCTGGGATTACAAAGATTTGTATTTTAAAGAAAACCAGTTCAAAGGGAACATAATTTACTTTTTGGGTTAAAATAATTTCTTAATATGAAATTCGAAGAGTATGACAATTAGATTAGACTGTGCAGAAATTGAAATCTACACGCTAATACACACTATACTCATAGTCACCAATGCTGATGTTGTTAACATTAATCATTTGAGAATAAAGTATAACAATAATAATAATTTGAATGGTTTGATGTGATATGAGCTAACCGATCTTTAGATTTAATCACCATTGGTAGCCTGATGTATGGTAATGCTTTTTTCCTCAGTTGGTCAGAACAAACGTGGCAGACTTGTTACTTACTTGTTTAGATGACAATATACGGTGACATTTTTTATTTGGATCATATTCCAAGCTGTAGGCTAGAATCTGTGATTGCGAAGTATCCAGGAAAAGGTCCGTGAGAGTGATTTTGTGCCTCTTTGGGATGGTACCACGAGGCGTCGTTCACTTGCAGAACGCAAGCTTCTGGAGGGCGCGTAGGTCTGAACTAGTGAGTTTAGGTATATTGGTGCAGCGCCAGTGGTTGTCTTGTAGGCAAGCATCAGTACCTTGAATTTGATGCGAGCAGCTACTGGCAGCCAGTGTACCCTGATGAGGAGGGGTGTGGGGTGTGACGTGAGCTTTCTTCGGATCGTTGAAGACATCTTAAGTTTTCAGCGTGTGTTAATTTAAAGCTGCAGTCCGTAACTTTTTTTGGTTAAAAATGATCCGAAATCAATATTTGAGCAAGTACATAACCAGCCAGTGTTCGAAACTATCGCCTTACTTTAGCCCGATTCACAACGGTTAGCTTATAATAATGTTTTATAATTTGAGTGGTACGGGTAGGTTTTCGCGGGAAATTCGAGCATGGCACTGCATCATTACGTCATGTCTGTAAACATAAAGAAGTTGTCCCGGCTACTAGGCTATCGCATGTGAGGATCCTGCAGGTGGCGGATCGTTTATAGCCTTTTCTCACAGCAGCTGGAATAATTAATTGTATCATTTTGATGGCGGATTGTAATCCATAAAGGATTATGTGTTTATGAAACACATGTGAATGAAATTAAATTATATTGCAGTTATAAATGTGCTTCTGATTACAGATAGCCTGGGATTACAAAGATTTGTATTTTAAAGAAAACCAGTTCGAAGGGAGCATAATTTGCTTTTTGGGTTAATTAATATGAATAATATGAAATTCGAAGAGTATGACAATTAGATTAGACTGTGCAGAAATTGAAATCTACAACACTATACTCACTATA